GGACTCCATCACGCACGCGCTGTTGTGCTGCGCAGTACGTAGACGATTCAGAAACATCTGGGTATTCGCAAAATGGGCTGGTATGTGTTTCAACAACTGGTTAAATATTAGGGTTAAAAACCATGTTATTCTGTCCGTTGGAATCGGACGTTTATAATTAAAAAGACGTGGATATAGTCTGCGCAACTAATGATAGGTCTAACCTTAAATAGTGATGGATCGGTAGACGCAAGACCATCGCTGTGTACTAACTTATGAGTTTTTATAAGCAAGTACAAGACGGGACACGTTGGTAAGTCAACTTTTAGTTGAGGGATAACTGATGGTTTTAACCCAGGCGCTCTTGCCGCTTCAACCCATTCGTCGTTTAACTTTCGGTACTGACCTTTAAATTCCTTCTCAGACGACGGACGGTAAAGGGAAGCATCTTTAAGGTGCTTTTCCGTTATCTCAACATCTAACTGGTGGGGAATTACAACGAACTCCCCACCGTTATCACTAACCGATAGTCTTATGTTTTTCGATCTTATCAGCTCTCGTACCTCCCGCATACCGCGTTTTTGTATTTCAGTGAGGATGGAGCAGTATCTCTTGGCGCGATAGCGATTAAAGACTTTGAGAGTTTCATTGGTAAACATCCGAAATTTAACAACAACTTCAATTGGACTCTTGTTGTCTGAAGAACGGCTGAGGAAATGGTGGCATTGGTAGGGCCTCCTCTTGGTGTTATTCGCATCTATTTCGCGCTTCATCTCTAGCTTTTTTGCGGAGTCTTTCTTGAAGTTCATGGAAACTACATGCGACCCTACGCAAGGTTATCTTAGAAATGGCTTCAGATGGTGAGAAACTCGGCCCCAATTCTAATAACGAGCGCGTACCGTCAGGGAGAGTCATGTCTCTTAACACTGTTAGCCTTGAATTTTCTTGCACATTATTTATCCTACTGTGACCCATTTCATGTTCGTTAGCGATATTTCTGTGCGCTCTTGAAACTGTGTTATGCGACTTACTCAAGAGGTCTTCGCGTTTTCTCCGCAAAGTTACTTTAGCAATAGACTTAATAGAGTTTCAAATCAACACTGACCCACCCACTATTCTCCTCCAGAGGCGGTCCTCCAAATACTGAGCGCAATAGTTTTCTTTCTTCTCGCACTTCTTCCACTTAGCGAACATCTGGTTTTGTTTGCTTCGTAGACAGGTGCGCAGTACTTGCAATTCGATGTCCAGTACTCGGTGGTCATCCTCTGACAGTCCTCGTACTTCGTGTAGTCGTTTTCTTTCTATAAATTTCGGAACGACTTGGTGTTTTATGCAGCGGTGGAGAAAGTGTATCGCCTGTCGAGCTAAGGCGATCTTTTGTCATAGTGACAGGGCTTCTTATGCAAGTCGGAAGTATCTTGCTGGTACATCTTGTATTAACTCCCACGTCCGGTTTTCTATTAACCTCGGCGTTGATTGAATAATTCTTTCTACTTCTTTTCAGCAAACACGAGGTTTTATTTTATTTCTTTATTTATTTACGTACAAGTTGACGTTTCGGCGGATTTCGCCTTCCTTCATTCCTTGACCTTTCCAGGCTCTGAGGATGGCGAAATCGGTCGAAACGTCAGCTTGTGCGTAAATAAATAAAGAAATAAAATAAAACCTGGTGTTTGCTGAAGAGAAGTAGAAGGAATTGTACTAAGTAGCGTTTCGACCGCTTGTTACAGGTGTGGAAGCTCGACGGCAACGAAACTGAGCAGCTATTTAATTTTTAGACACTGTCATAACAAAGCCTATTATTCGTTTTTGTTATCAGGATTTTGATTCACTTAAGGAGAGGTGTACTTTTCGAGCTTATGACGTGGGCTCATTTTCGTTATTTCAGTCCTACTTTGCTCAAATGCGGCATTTATCGTGTCCACACTTTTTGAACGATCATGTTTGTTCAGCGCTAGTATTTGGGAGAACTATCGCTGCTTGAAAGGCTTTTGTTATCTACTGTTTCATAAATGATGCTAGAACGGCATAGAGTTTTTCGTCTTGTGAAACTGACGGACACCACTTGCTTCATTGTTTGACTCTTTGCTCTGTTGGATGCTTAGATGACTCGTCTTCACTGGTTGTGCGGGCTCGAGCATAATTTCTTTTTTTCGGAGTTTTGCTGGTTCAGCCATTATGGTTCCCTGGAGTCTTGAGGTCAGCCTAACTAAAGTTTGTCTCTGGCTGTGACCATTACAGCCAGTCATCGCCATTGTGGATCATAGGGAGATTTGCCACAATGCAACTAGTTTGGTGCCAGAACGGTAGTTATACATCGCAACCCTACACCTTGGAACAGGCCCCAGCCATGATGATGCGTAATCGGTCGAGAGATTTTTGACTCCTTACCGTTTGAAAACCTTAATTTGAAAATTCCTGCTGGCTTTCCGAGAACCGAAAAAAAACCAGTAAATAGCAAAGTACAGTTTCTCCAACGTGTGTCAAGACTCAATTTGTTTTTAACCAGAGCTCGTATGTCTACTCACCTGTATCACCTTTCTTCAAATTGATCGTCTATTGTAAATTTTGTATTTCTCTCTGTCACGTGCAAAAGTAGCTCAGTGGGTTTTTCGCTACAGAACTCATTGAGCATCATCGTTTTAGGCCTCTTGTGAAACAAAACTTAGAAGGCCTTTGTCAGCCTTCCTGCTTTGTGCTTGACATTTCGTGGAATTCATCCGCTAACAGCTTTTATTCAAGAAAGCTGTTCACTGTTGACGAAAAAACAGACGATTATGAATACGCGTGCTTATAACTTTGAGAGTTTTTAGCCGAACTGGAAGATCGAAAATCCCAGTAAGTGGAAAACACATGAATTTAGTGGAGAACGGACAGGCTGCGGTTGTACGGTTGTAAACTACGTCTTTCCCTCTCGCTGGACGAAAAGCATTCGACTGTTTTATCAAATTGTAATCGCACACGCTGGAAATTTATAACTGATGTCTACATTTTTAAAAAGCTGCAAATAAGTGGTAAAAAAAGGACATAAATTGGAGAGGAACAGCCGAGCGGTTGAAACTGTAATGGCTCTGCAAGGGCGTCTGCAGTATCATTCACAACTTCCTCATATGTAGCACTACGATAGTATGAAACGCTGTGTGAATTCCAAAAAGTACAGTCAGAGTTACCAGAAGCGCAATATAAGAAATTGTCATCGAATTATAAAGTGTTTTCGACACCTACGATGGCCTGCACATATGTGATATTTTGGGACAGTAAATTCCAGTAATGTCTTGCTTTGATGACAAGCTTATACAATTTTATTACAAACTTTCATTGCGGTTAACGTTTCGGTAGTTTCTCCTTCATCACAGCTACGATAATTCCAGTCGAGTGTCCACAGCAGTTCTTTCTTCTTGCGACGTCCGTTTTCATAGCTATTGAGTCGGGTTTGAATAGAACACACTGAAGCACCCAATGAAAGAAATCGCCTCATAGAACTCTGCTCTCTTATACAGGAGTCTAGTTGAACTGAAAAGAGCTGATCTGACACGGAAGCTCAGCAGGATACAGGACGATCCTTCCTCGATTACTAACGAGAGCTGTTTCTTTTGCGGTGTAGATCTTACTTAAAAGGAATTAATAGGGGGTTAATGGAAAACCAAAAGTAACCTGACGTTTCCAAATGCGCATATCGATCAGGTAGATTGACTCCTCATTTCTGCTGCGCTAATCTGGCAAATGTTTGTTCTGTTTACGAAGACCTTGAGCATGTATGTTTGGGAGTGTTCTCGTTTATGCGGAATATATTCTACACGTCAAATCGTCCAAAGGTCTACAATAAAGCGGGTGGGAAGTAAATAGAAGGTTGAGACAATAAATCAAGACCTTTAACAAAAGGTTCACTTGTATTCTGGGACGGAATGGCGAGCTACCTATGTGTATATCCAGAACTCTCAGTCAGAGCTCGGCAAGCCAATCGCAATCGTATCACATGCTACACAAAGTGAAATAGATGGGAATTATTCTTTTCTCTCTAAAACAGCTCTCAATGCGGCTGTGTTGAATTTGTATTCAAAGCCATCTATGACAAAGAAGAAGGACTGGTCCTTGGAGCAGATGATTGTAGTGGTCAGCAGAGACGACATTCTTATCAAAACGAACTTGGCCATGAACATCGATTCATTCGAAAAACACGGAAAGAGAATTTGACACATATGGTTAAAGGGATATGGATCAATACCAAGTTTGGCAATACTTGTAGTTTAGTCACCATCATCAAGCTAAGATGAAGTCGAAGTTGAAGCGTTCATGTGGAATTAGAGAAGTTCTGCAAGAAAAACCATACATTCTTAAAGGTTTGATTTTGAAGGATTGGAATTTCAACGACAGAATTGGACGTAAGAGAGCTCCTGAAGTTCGTCACTTTGGACCCTATTAATTGCTGCGGGATGAGCAGAATGAGCGGCCGTGTGAGCCTATTGTGATGTCCAAAACCATTCATGGAGATTAACAATTCCAGAATCCTCACTTTCAACGTTGAACAAGGGATTATCTTAATAGAGAGTGCAAAAATGGAATTGGTTACATCATTGAGATCGAAAACTTGCCTAAACAACATGGCTGCAAAATTCTGCATAGGATCGGGCCACCGCATCCTTCGCACATTTTTTGTTGAAAGTGCAGAATTCTGTGGAATAAAGAAAACGAAAACATGAAGCTTGAGCAAGCTAGATTGGAAACGTGACGGCAGTTATCTCGCTGGTTTGGTCTAAGTTAGATTTTCGGGTAGAATTTCCGAACTCTCTCAAATTTGGAAACCACACTAAGAAAATGAATTCATGTATAAGGCAGTTCGGTTTCAGAAAACATTTTCGTATAAGATAAGGAGAAAAAAGCAGTCTGGTAGATACTGCAAAACTAGGAGAATAAATAAATAAAATGTCAAAAAAGTGCTTAAGGGATGTTATAATTCACCATTGTGAAAAAGCAACTAAGTGATGAGTTTCAAACCATTACGTCCTCGTTTAACTTCGATTTCAAAGAACCATTCGACTAGTTGGTGTGGTGCTCATTTCGGTTATAGAAGCCCGTTCCGCTGTCGGCAGCACTCCCAGTGCATTTTCGACAACCACCGTTAATCTAAACCATGAATTTTTTTGTAGCCAAAACAAAAGTTGTAGCTCCTACGAACAATGCACATGTAAAAAACAGATGGTGGAAACTCGTGCTTATAATCGCCATGTAGCGTTATTTAAATATCAAACCTTTCTTTCTACGGAAAACAAGCCTCCGCATGCTTCCATCAAGCATATTCCCAAGTGTGTTTATATTGCTGAGCTTACACGAGGTTGACAAAAATGTTTATTCGGCTAACATTTCGGTGATTTCGTTTCAGACCGATGATCCGAGATCTTCCTCAGTGAAGCATCTCTTTCGAAAGAGCCATACTCACCCAGCAGTGTTCTTTTATACAGGGAGGTTGTTGTTGACATTGTTTATGTGAGTAAACAATAAAGCCCTCTTTGTTGATCAACCCTTGAGCTCATCGTTGTAGGTGATTGAATGTATATCTGGGCTTTACAATGATTCGCTTTGGTCTGGCGATGTGTCTATTCAGTGCTGCTACCGTCCCAAACATGTCTAGTACCAATTTCCCGACCCCGGAGGGATGAAAGGCTTTGTGAGCCTGGCTTGCGCGATCAACGCCATGTGTACTGCAGGCGGCCTCTAACGACTGCGCTACCAGCTGCCTCTATCTCTAGCAAAGTTATGAAAATGTTTGGTTGAGCAGATTGTATGCCATTGTGACCTAGCCACGTTCTGAAGACGATCAACCGTCGACACATCGGTTACTGTTAATCAATAATTTCTGTTTTGTGAAAATTGATCTATCACTTTTATCTATTAGCACTCCTAAGTGTATGCCGTGTACTATTGGCTGCGGTTGCATCTAGATGTGGAACTGAGATGTACACGAAGATTATTCAGGCAATATGATATATTATTCACGTCTGAAGAAGAACATAGGTAAACGCAAACCTATAGCAGGTTTCAAACACCTGCAAATCGTAAAGTCTTTCTCTAATGCACAAACTCTAACGACTGCTTGTGGTGGCGACGATATGAGGAAAGCTCCAGTTAGGCTGACATCGGGACTTCAAAGAACCACAAATGAGGCAGAAACGGGAAAACTCCAATGGGCTAAAAATAAAGCAATACTAGAGACAGGCCAGGTACAGTGCACTAACCGCTCGTATTTTAGGATATCGAGTGCTGAGATAAACGGCAACGGGCTATCTAATCTCTGGTTGCTCAGAACGTCACTGGGACCGAATCAAACGAACAATTTTACAATATCCCGTTTTGACTACTTATTGCTATACACCTATATCACCAGAAGTATTTCATTCAACACTTTTATTATGCGATTTATGCACAATTCCTGAGCGACGTCAGTTTGCATCAAATTCCATGTAATGCCCTACAACATCCGAAAAGCAGAAATACCGAAATTCGCAATTTCGCTGAAGGGACCTTTATGAATATAGAGGGAAATTATCGTTAAGGTACGTTGCTCACCTAGGCTTCGTTGTGTAGCTGCAATATTGATATGGATGAAACACTGTCACCTCACTTGGATATTCTTCGTTTAGATTATTTGCGCCAAAAGAAAATCAATATTACTGACCGCTGTTCTGTGCATCTTATAATCATTCGATGAAAGTGGTCTGCAACGAAAAGTTGTCCTAAAAATTTGTTGTTGGAGACATTAAAACAACATTAAGAAGGGCCAGCATAGCTTCTACCGATGTAAATTTTCCTGCATAGGACTTCTGCAGATTCCATTTATTGTCACTTGTTTTAGCTTTGCTGCATTAGGACCAAACTTAAATTTCTTCTTCCGAGAAATCCCCAGTGATAGTGCTGATGGGGATGCGATCTGAACCTCTCGTTTTGGTTCGCGATGTAGGTTTAGTTGATGGATTCGAAGATAGAACGGGCACCGACGATCGATTTGAATGACCGCAGCTCTGAAGAAAACGAAGAAATCGAGACGCTCGCCTAGTAAGTTTCTGTAATAACCTGGTATTGGTTTCTTATTGATAAGAAATACCTTTATTATCCGCACCGAGGCCAACGGGAAGCCCGTTCTTAACAAGAATATGCAAAAAAGTGTCTTTTAGTATTACCCCGCAAAATAACGACTTTAAAAAACGACAAGCGAAAACGAAATATTTTATAGTTGCGACAATTTAATAAACCAAGATATCCAAAGCTATTGTATAAACCAAAATTACTGCTGTATCTTGCACAAAAAATTTATCTTCTGAGGTCCTCAGTAGTACAGTGAGTAAAACGCACGCACTTCGAAAGGATAGTCGCGGGTTCGGATCTAAAATGAGGTCTAAGTTTCAGAAATATCTCACCATCATATTAGTTTATTTTCCACTTATGCGTTCAAGTTTTGTGTGAACTATGGCAAATTTTTCATTCTCGCACTACCGCCTTTCATGAATTCATTGTCATAGGCGTCTAGGAAAGGTTGCTGCTTGAGAATTGTTTTCCATATGGATACCATGGAATGATGGTTGAATTGACTCTCATTTGAACCCGTGCCTTCTTGTGGCCTCACCGTAAGCAGTTTCTAACGTTTTAGATTGGAGTACGGCTCTCTTAGACAAGTCCGGTACCAATTTCCCGACTCTGGAAAGAGGCTAGTAAGTCTTACGATAGATCGAGCCAACGATAGAGTAGATATGTTTTCGCGGCACTCCTTACAACTCCGTTTCCAAGCTCTTAACCAGCAACTTACTCGATGAACTGAATTTTGGAAGCGAAATCGCTTCCTGCGTCGTTTCGAATCACCAAACAAAAGCTATTATCAACAACAAAGAATCGTACTTCTTTATAAATTAACCGGCAAAATATCACAACGTGTAAATGAAACTACAATGTAAAAACGTGTAAGCATTGTAACTTTCTTAAAAGAATTCCGATTTGTTCTATTTATTCTATTTACGACCAGTTCTAGTTGATGTAGAATTCGTAAGACACTATTCATACAAAAGCATCACGTAGTAGGGAAGTGAATAGTGAAGTAAATAAGATTGCCAACTACGTTCAAGCACAGGTTCAGAATGAGGCTCTGACCAACACGAACATGCAGTTTAACGGCTGGACTTTCTGAAAAAAAACACTTTGCAGTAACTCCCACGACCGACTTTCTATTAACCTTGGCATTGATCAAGTAATTCTTCGTATTTTTGTTGAGCAATAATAACACCTCGCGTCTGCTCAACAAAAATACGAAAAAACACTTTGTTTGTCATGACCAACAAAGCGGTCAGTAAAATGTCAACGGTGTAAACATCTCCGTTTGTCGTTTCCATTTTCCACGTTTTTCTCATTGTTTTCCGAAAGTTCATTTTGTAACTAATTGCACAATTTACGAAAGCTTCGGTAGTGCGCGCCATTCTTACGCTTTTTAGTATTTCATGGTTGTCTAAGAATCTTGTGAATATTCTACGATTCTGGATACGAACTGGTGTGTAAGACTACAACTGAACAAATTCGGAGAAGAAGCAGTGAATACAACCAAGGCGTTAATAAACTGACCCAAATGAACTCACCAATTTGTGGTCACTGAAAAAGGCAACTTCCGCACTTTTGGAGTCCTCCGTCACGTCTAGAATGGAGATGTTTTTAAATCCACATGCGTCCATTCTCTAAAGATAAACATACACCTTTGATCAATGTTATTAGAATGGATAAGAACAATAACAAAAATTATTTCTTCAAGGCTTGCCTTTCTAATGGATGGTTCATCAATACTTTCGACCGGCTCAAGAAGCACGAATTTTGCCTCTGGCTTCATAATCCTCTGAAAACTGCCGTTTCTATCAATAACGTTTCCCAATCGGCAAACACAGTAATCTCACCGTAATCCTCTTGATAGCTTCATCATCGTTTGTTGCTAACAGTTCGGTGCCAATAAAACAATCAAACGACGCATCACGTTGATTCCAGTAGTCGATCGACGATGTGAGTGATTCGTTCCAACCAAATCTAAAAAGATTCCATTGTCGATATAACTGGATGAAGCTCGTATTCATTTTCAGCTTTCCGATTAGCCTTCATGGCTCAAATATGCATTGATTAAATCGTTATTACATGCCACTATCATTCCGTTACGCTCGTCACGGTTTTCTAAATATAACAAAATCTGAGAAATTTTCTATCTGATTGAGCAGAGAGAGGCTGCACTCGAGCGGTGCTCCTCCACTCGGCCGGTTTCGACTATCTTGGGACCATCGCCTCAGATCAACTCGATTATGAAGAAGGTGATGGCGCAGAAACGTTAGCTGAATAAAAGTTTCTGTACAACCTCGTGTCAGCTCCATTATACAGAATACCACAGATTATTGTTGCCGAGGTGTAATGAAAGTCGGTTTCTAAGACATAACGGAATATGAATACGTCGTTTTCTTGTTCAGCAATCGCGAGGTTTTTAAACAGCATACATTTACTTCCATAGAAAAAAACAATACAATACAACGCTAGCTGACGTTTCGGCAGCATCTCCTTCTTCAGAGCCGATTTTTCGTGACTTCCAATGAGGAAGATTAGAACAGCTGATTATAGTCGCATGTGGTTAACGACTCATAACGGAATCCTTTTATCAATCTAAACTAACACGAGGTTAATACGAAAGATTTATTTGCCTAGCGTTTCGGTTGTTTTGTGTTCTTTAGAGTTAGGCGGACCGGAGATGGTGGTCCACCACTAGTTGTCCCTGCAATGATGGTTTTTGTCGTTATATCCGGTTGAATCCAGTGGACGGAGCATCGCTGGAATGGCGAACTTCACTGTGTGGTGACCTTTTATACAGGGAGGGTGTTGGTCGTTTTCTGCTATCCAACATCATATACACTTTAAAATGGATCCAGTAGCAGTCGGCTATGTATATGTAACATAAAGGATAAAGGATAAAGCGCTCGGCGTTAATCAATCCCTGAGGGATGCACCATGCATTCGACTTCATTAAGTATCGTTGGAGGTGATTGAATGCATATCTGGCCTTTACAGTGACTCGCGGTTACCTACCGATGTATCTAGCCAGTGCTGCTATTCTCCCAAACAAGTCTGGTACCAATTTGCCGACCCCGGAGACTTAATGGGCCATGCGCGCGGGGATCGATTCCACGTGTGTGTACCAGTGGCACCTCCAACCACTGCGCCACACGCGCCCTATGTGTACATGGCGAATTAATATTTAAAAGTCCGACGTTTAACTAGTATTGGCATGAATAACCAAGACTTTCTAAGATTACTGAGCTAACACGAGGTTGGTACAGAAGAAGAGCACCGCCGAATGCAGTTCTCCATTCGAACGGTGCTCCTGCCACTAGATTTTACTCGATGCGACAACAAACACCGAGATAGCTGAGTGGGCCATCGACTCGGGCCAAAACGTGGCCCTGAAAAAGATAAAGACCGTTTGGAAAAATGGAAAAAAAAAACAATGCGCCGTCTTCACGTTTGGAATCATTTCGAAACCTCAGACTTAATCACGTATAAAGACCTTATCACGTCACATTGTCGGCTCGTTCATATACAACAAAAATTCACAATGATGTATGGGAGCAAGGCGGCATTTACTCGCACTTACCGTACTCGATGATTTCTCTCACGATTTGCCTTTGTCAGTGATGTACGGTAGCAATACTCATTGGTTTCAACATTCCACACATTGCACGTGAATTTCTGAAAAATCACAGGATGTCGCAAATTACAAAATGTTGAACGGCTCAATAACATTTCAATGAATCAGTCTCTTCTAATATAATTTCCTGATATATTACGCCAAGACAGGAGAGATGAATGATAAATAAAACTGCAAATAAGTGCATAAAAAATAAAACAAAGAAAAACCTCCGCTATTAGGTGCGAATTCACATGCAAATACGGAGATCTTTGCCTTGGTGTGAATACAAAAGCAGCCCCACTTTTCGGCGCCACTTCATCCTTGACCACACTTGAGAATATCTAAAGGTCACTTTTTTGCAAATAAAAATTGCCTTCCTCCTCTACAACATCCCACTCGACAATGCCTACACTAATAAATCCAGAAATCTCAAAACTTCACGGATTTACTTAAATCGGTCTCAAAAAGACTCAACCAATATGCAACTATAATCAGCTGTTCTAATCATCCTCATTGAAAGTCACGTAAAAAGGGGCTCTGAAGAACGCGATTCTGTCGAAACGTCGGCTACTGTTGTACTGTATTCTTTTCCTATGGAAGTTAAATGCATGCTGTTTAGCAAGCTCGTGTTTAATAACTCGAAAGGCCGACTTTCTATAAACCTCAGCATAGATAGTTGATATATTTATTTATGTGATCATATAAACTGATCTTCTTAAGCTGACGCGAGGTTGGCACAGGTCTTCGTTGTCGTTGTCGTTGTTTTTGATGTTATTGACGTTTCGGCGACTTCGCCTTCCTCAGACGTATTTTATATCAGAATATTTTTATTATTCGGTGAAAAAGAAAGGTTAAAGTGTTAATGAAGATCAAACTTTCAAATAGACGCCATATTGAACAGAAAAGCCACTCACCGTGATGTTACGTGCGGGACTGGCCCACGCGTCGTTTTCGTGGAGTCGCGAGCAAGACATACCTCGGGGTCAAAATATCGTTTTGAAATAGAGCGCCAGGTCAGGTGTGATAGTGAGACTCGTCCTTCCAGTTTTGGATTTTTGAAATTTATCCAAAACCCCTCAAGAGTTTTGCGCGTTGATTTTTTTGATTCTTGCGCTAGGATCCGCACATTCACTCCAGAATCATCGCCGTTGTGCTTTTGTGCCCTATGCGTACCTAGAGGAGTATTTAAACGGATTTTAGCTTTTCCATCTAGATGTTCTTTTATGCGGACACGAAGTGGTCTACCCATTTCCCCGATATATTCCTCGCCGCATGTGTTACATGAGATCAAGTATATTATACCTAAACTCATGCAATCCCCGTCTCTCCCGTTAGGACAGATCATACGGTTTTCTGAGCTGCACAAACGATCATAGAGACGGTTTCGAACTAAATGGCGGCGTAGGGTATTGGGTGGGATGTCAATAATCGTTACATAATTTTCAAGACCACTTTTTCTTAAGCACCTCTTAATTGCGTGACCTACTTCTTTTGATATGAAGGGTAGCTTAAAGGGTATCTTACTTTCGTCCGAAATATTATTTTGGGAAACGACCCAACGTTTTCTTCTAACCCGAGTGGCTTCTACTTCGTAGCCATCGGAAATGGTAATTTTTCGTGCCAGGCTTCGCGATTCCTTGCTTTCCTATTCTCCTGTACACACATTTTTAGCCGTAATATACATGTTTCTGATAAGCGCTTTTTTTATGTGTGAAGGATGAGGGGAAAAGCAGTGAACTAGAATGTTTTTACTACTTGGCTTGCGATACCATTTTGTGGAGTGGAGTCATTGGACGCGTTGGTATAAAGTGAAGTAACATCGAATGACTCCATTGTACGCGTGCTGTTTCGTTGTGCGCGCCTTAGGAGATCCAGAAATATTTTGGTGTTAGGTAGATGGGTTGAAATGAATTTCAGCGGCTGGGTAAGGATAAGGTTTAGAAACCACGTTATTCTATCCGTTGGCCCGCCTATACAACTGATGAGAAGTCTAGCTTTATATGATGATTGGTTCGTTGACGTAATATCATCAGTTAAAGTAAGCTTATGTGTTTTAAGAAGCAAGTAAAGAACAGGGTAAATTGGATTTCCGTTTTTAAGTCGAGGAATGACTGAAGGCTCTCAACCCGCGGCCTTTGTCGTGCTGACCCATTCTTGATTCAGTTTTCGGTATTGATTTCTGTATTCCTTTTCAGAGGATGTTCGATTGAGAGAAACATCACTGAGGTGCTTCTCTGTTATCCTAAGATCCAACTGACTAGGAACAACTACAAATTCTCCACCTTTATCACTAATAGATCTAACAGATTTGTTGGTGTGTGACGTTGAAGCTTCTTTTTCATTTTTGGCAGTGATTAAGAATGCGGAGAATTTCGTCCGAAAATAAACGAAATGTAGGGTCAATATCGCTATTATTTGGTAGCTCTTGTTTAAAGAAGAAAGTTCGGGGAAAGGGTATTAGTGGTAGTTCTCTCTTTGGTAGTTTTAGTTTTTATGGAAATTCGGTCTTTCGAGTTATTAAGAGATGTTCAAGCAAAACATTTCCGACTTGTAAGAGACGCATTGTCATTAGGACAGAAAATCGTCTTAATGCGACAAAAGACCTACTTTCTACGCCGCTGCTTAAAACATCGATTTATACCTAACTTTATATAAAACGTAGAAAAT